TCATGGGTTTTTTTACAACTTTTCAAATAGCATGGGTGATCAATAGTGCCAAATGCTGTGCTTAGGTCAGTCATAGTCATAGTGGGCATCGAAAAGCAACCTACATCCGCTGCACATAGGGGATGATTGTAAACTATTATCATTGCAGTCTCCGTATTATTATAATTATTTGTACTCTTACTCCATGAGACCACTCTTTTCAAGGTGTGTATTTTTAGTTGACGATAGGGCTACTTGTTCAAGGATTTTTTAGAAACAAATGGTAAATTTGAGACTGGCATAAAGTTAATAAATTCACTAAGAATAGCTGATAAAGATTTTTTCCATGAGTAGGGGTACTAATACAATTTCATTTATTTAAAACAAGAAGGTACAGTGCTTGAGTGGAGCGAACCATTCGTAATGACAGTGATTACATCAACAACACAGTCTTATTAACACTAGCTTTGGGAAGCGGTAGGTATTGGTATTAGAGCCAACAGAAATTAGCAGGCGATGATAAAATAAGATCGTTTGATAACTCCCGCCTTTCCATTCAAATTTAAATGGCCACTGACTCATAAAAATCAGGACGACGTGGAGTATAAAAATCTAACCGTATAGTCAAAATTGTGTCTTAAAAGGGGGGGGGGGGGGGGGGGGGGCTACACCTGAAGTCTATCTCGCTTATTACTGGACCGAATTTTACCAAATTTCACACATATAACAAGCATAGTGAGGAGTCTTAAAATCCGCAATCAAATTAGAGAAAAAAATTTCGTTTCCATGGATACGGCGGCCATATTGGATTTTGTTCAGTGGTCTTCAGTTAAATACCGCACTTATCGCTCATGGACATTGATTGTTTTTTTTGCATACGTGTTTACAAACATTAGATCTAAAAATTTATCTGTTGTTTTTTTCCTAAACGAATTAGAAATTTTTTAATGAATTTTTTCCTGAGGTAGCAGTCAAGTTTGCAAAAAATCAGTGAAAATCCACACTCCAGACACCACCAACAAAAATCTATTCCATATATCAAAAATTCAACAGAGACATTTTTAGTATTACATCTTCTCTTCATTCTGTGAAAATTTCATGAAGGTTGGATGAAAAATGGTGGAGTTATTCAAAAAAGTATAGGGTAAAGTCACGTTTTGAGAAAACAGCCGATAAAGAAAAATAAAATACTGACTTTATGAGGAAATGGCGGTGACAAACATGCCCAGTATGGGAATAAATACGGTTTTTTTGGTTTTTTTATGCTATGAAATAGTTGTAGAAGAGGCTGAGGAAGCTAGAAATGCCTACAATTCAAATTCCATAATTTTGAACCGAATTTTGACTTTGGGGGTGTAGCCCCACCCCCCCACCCTTTAAAAAACAACATTCCAAATTGATCTGCTAGTTCTTGTGAAGAGTCAGAATAAGTTAACTCACTACAGCTCGTCCAACACGGAAACACAATAGTTTTGATTCTTATTTGTGCCCTGAGATTTTAAATACGTGAGTATGCGTATTTTAGTTTTGTCGCCAGTGAACGCTTGCAACCACTTCTCCGCCCTCCCCCTCTCTCTCTCGCACATACAAACAAACAAACACACACACGTGCACACGCGCGCACATACACATACTACTAGTGAGCATGCGATGGTTCATGAGATAACCTTTCCTGTCGACGGTTAAGTTGAACTTTACACGAATTGATCTTGTTTCTCCCTTTTTTCCCCACTCCCTCGACATCAACTCATCTGTAGTTGACAGTATAAACCTTTTTTTTACCGAGGCCTATACATGTATTATATAATGTCAAATACTCAGAGTATAACGACTGACATAAAAACTCACTTAAAAATCGGATAACAAATAATTACATCATGTATAAATAAGTTTTATTTCAACTTTTCAGAACACAGCTATGCTCGCTGAAAGTTAAAATTTTGTCAGCACAAAGTTGCTAGTGAAATAGCAACCTGTTGTTATATAACATATTTTTTACATGTCGTGGTTTGTTACACCAAGACCTGCACTAAAATAAATAATAGATTATGTAAAAACTGGAATTGTAACGATCGACGTAACAAGTACTGAACGAATTTGAATGAGAAACACATTCGGCTGACTGTCAGCTTCTTAGATCACCAACTCATGATCAGTCTAGGCAGTTGAGGAAAGGCCTGTTTTATTTAGTACATACATGTAGTTCCATCCCTTAGTCTGTTTTTTTTTGTTTGCTTTTTTTTTTTGGGGGGGGGGGGGTACCGGTAGCTTTGGTGGCGTTTTTTGGGTGAAAGGAGTTGCAACTGATTGCAATGTACATGTATTTTCTGTGTATGTGCTTCACAGCAATTAACAGGTTGAACAGAAAAATTTTCCTAACTTTAGATGAACAACTGTTAGTTTTTATTGGATTATCAGAAGATGAAAATAATTAGCCTACTATAACGATTTAGAAGTTAGACTCCAATTACTACACAGTTAAAAAGGGTAAACAAATGAAATGTGCCATTGACTTTGAGTACTCTGAGGTTGCTTTGGTTCAAGTAGGCCTACTCACTTCTTCAGCTGGAAGCTTGAGTATTGAGTGATTCTAAGTTGGGGGTTGATTCCATGATTACGAAAAACTTGATGTAACAGTTTAAAATTTAAAAAATTTAGTAAGAGTTTTTCAGCACTTGTCACACAATAAGGTTATACAAGCGCCGAAGGTTTAGAGGTGTTACAAGAGAGTAAAAAAAAAAAAAAGGAGAGATAAGGACGATAGAAGTTTGATAAAAGAAAGAAGGAGCAAACGATACCACAGCACCCGCCAACCATCCACTGCTACATCTAGCACGGACATAGCGTACAGGTACGTAGCAAAACACACATTTATAGCGAACAACTTTTCAGGTCCCGAATTATTTCTTATACAGGTATATATTCTTATAAACTATAGAGTATAGAGAAATTCGCAAACGACAAAAAAATGTCTGGGTCTCGCCCATTTCGCTTTGTGTGTGCTAGACTGTAAATAGTAAACAGTAGCCTAGTCTCCACCTAAATAAAGGCACGTCATACAAAGGCATGCTTCGCTCAAACATACACTTTTGTCATATGTTGGGTTATGAACTGGGGGCGGCTTAGTGTACTGACGGAACTTTAGCCGCCCCCCCCCCCCCCACGGCTAGGCGTAGCGAAAGAGTTAAAGGAAATGAGATGATCGTGTCCCTTTACACAGGTTCATGTAAACACACGCTCCATGTAAATGTACGTTTAGGAGCCCTCCCGAGCACCATGTGTTTAGGAAGCTTCAAACTAAACACAGGTCACACATAACTCAAATTCTGTTAACCCCACGAAGCCCAGCAGTGACAGCAGGTGCAAAATTTTTAACATTAAATCATGTTTCTTCTTGGCCTGGGCATTCAAAGAGCAGCAAAGACAGAAAACAAAGGCACACACAAACTTCAGGAAATTATTTACTAAAAATTTTATAACAAACTCTACGAGTAACAATTCTTTGGAAAAATGAGTAAAGCACTTCATCTTGCTCATGTGCAAGTTATGGAAAAAATATAATCTTTTCTTTAGTTTGTAATCTTTTCTGAACGATCCGAGAACATACACAATGAAATGACAGAAAGAAGCAAGGTATCAAGTCATCGAAACAAATAATTAGAAAAGTTAGAATAAAATCAGTGTACAATCAGGCAAGGATAACTCAAACAGCTTGGGGGTTGACAAATGTGTTTGACACATCCATAATTCAGGTTGACCAATGACAAAAAATTAAAGAGATATCAGTCGGGGATTGGGAAATTGCACGAGCTATCCATGGTTTCGAGTTTCCTGTGTTCATGTTATCTGTGCCTGAATGTGCTTGGAGTGGAACAAATAAATAGCAATAACAGACAGCATTACATTCCAGCTTACTTTCCATGCAAAAGAATCTTCATACATTTCACAATTTTCAAACCTTGTTAAGACAACAAAAGGCACCGATTCCCCCTTCCTTTACACACACGTGCCTGCATGCACACACACACACTTACATACGCACACTGAGGAAGGTGTTTTACATAAAACAAGGATCTTGGATACCATGATAAACTCTTGTAACAACACATAAATGCAAACTCCTAATAAAGATAACTGCAGGTAAAAAGAACTGATAAATTTTAATTAATGATTTTTACATTTAAGAGGAGATGTCTTTTTTTGTTGTTTCCCTTAACTGCAATGCAGTCAGACTTTGCAGTATTGAAAGTAAGCAGACAAAGCATAATGACACATGAATCTTGTTATAAGTTATAGTGCTGTCTTGCTATTGCCATAACCCATGGCCATAACATCAGAAAGCATATCAAAGGGGAAAAAAAAAAGATAAAGGAGGATTGCGGATTGAAATCTCAGTACGTTTGAATTTAAGCATTGGTCTTATTGTTTCAATTCACAGCCTCAGTACATGTAATGGCTACCTTGGTCTCAAGTGTAATATACTTGAATCTTTATCAAGAACAGGCCATTTTGAAATCAGGATGAGATTCATGATGGTGGAGTTGGAGATATTCAATATTATTATTATTATTATTATTATCTCTATATATTATATTTGTGAAAGTTCATCATTTTGGCAGCCTAAAACTTCCGAACCACTTAACTTTCGAATTTGAAAAAATTAACGGTGGTTCAGAATCATTTAAAGGGTGCACAGTTTTATTGAGCAGCCTGAAGTCACTGTTAATTAATTTTCAGTTTTCATTAGTTTCGTTTAGATCTAATCTTGGGAAAGTCCGTCTTCTACGACGCCAGTGTTAACAAGTGAGGTTTCTGTTCACTAGCCGCGCGCACTGATTCCACACCTTTGAAATTCTGGAGTGTACAACCAAAAAAGCGGAACAGAGAACCAATCTATACATCTATTTTGTACATCTTTTCCCATAACACTACGACAGCTACGGAGTTGAAAGTTGGCAATTACCTGCAAAAAGATAGATAGGGCCACATGACGGAGCTCCATTTTTTATTTATTCATTTCCTGAATTTAGAAAAATATATTTGACAAAATGTTCTCGTCCTTCTTTGGCCTTTGGGATTATTCCACTGAGAAACGAAACAAACCTGCCAAGGTGGCCTTCACAGTGGAAGTGCCGGAAGTGATATTTCGTGAGGCGCATTTTGTGTCGAGAGTATAGATCTAGGCCTTCTAATTTTTTGCATTTCTCAAGATTTATTGCTCCATTCCGGTAGAGTGTAAATATAGTTGACCAATGACTTTCAGTTTATGTCAATGCACAGATCATTCCTTTCATCGAAAGGGGGTTCAGCTAGTTATTAATAACTGTGTTTATGGGTCTGCAGCCGAAGACCGGACTGTAAAGCCACGACTAAAACCAGCGATATGTGAGGCCGCACCAAGTGGACCTACTACTACACACCTCACTGCCAGCGTGATGTGTTTTAAATTTAGATATAACTGGCAAGCACAAGCTTAGGCCACACATTGTATTGGCAGAACGCGGAATGTTCAGAAGCATGATGTGTGTTTGCAATATTATAATTAGGAAAGAAGAGAGGGGAGGGGATGCTTGCAACACCCAGAAGTCACTTGTCTAACAATAAAATAATGAAATGACTAGCATAGCGTGGTCTAATGATAGGGACAGAATATGTTCATAATCTATTCTTCAGAGGGAAAATGAGTTACAATGGCTTATTCGTTATAAATAGAAAATTCTTTTAGCAAGTGTCTTTATTCCAGCATATTATATTGTACAAGTGAAACTAGTTCAGCTGTATTTAGAAATGTTGGATCCCATTGAAGAAAGAAGGTGAGAAATAGATAGATGATATTGCTGGTGAAACTGATGTTTCTTTTGCGTATCCCTAATATATTATAGAAATTAAGCAATATCCACTACATTTTGACGAAGAAACAAGAAAAAGACAAACATCGCATACAACAGCAAGATGAAATGATTTACATAGACCCAAAATTACATTGACATGTACACAATTCTGAGAGTACTCAGATCATCCCCCCCACCCCTCATCTGATTAAAAAGGAAGATCCCACACTACCATTTTGATTGTTTATTTCTCAATTGTTGGACAGCACCTTCTATCGACCAATTAGCACAAAAGAGCTGGACAGAAAACATTGCAAGTTTGGAAGGAAAATGACACCCCAACCCAGGTGAACATGGAGAGTTTCCATCTCCTCTTGGTAAGACAGGAGACTGTGATTTATATCTCCTAACCTGCCTGAGGTGTACACAACACCAACAGGATTGGAGCACTCATTTCTTTGTATTAAAAAAAAAGTAACGACATGAAATAATATAGCATATGAAAGCCCAAGTTCTGCTTCTCCAACATGAAAATTCTGGGACCTTAACAAATGACATTAGAGTAAAAAATCTCTAGTAAATGAAAACCATGGCAATATCAGGACAAGTGCTAGACAAGTTATAGTTCTATTTCTTTTTTTTTCAGCATTTTACCCACTCCCCTCTCATTAGGAATTCTTTAGTAAAAAAAAGTATGCGAAGGTAACAAACAAAATGCATGTTAAAAAAAAATTGAGATGGTGATTGATTTGATAGTTATCCCTCGGGCACACCATCTGATCTCAAAGCTCAAGCCCCCCCCCCCCCCCCCATTTCCATTGCACACAAAAAAAATTTAATTGTTATTCATGTAAACAACATTCAAAGGCATTAAAACTAAAAGTACAATTAAGTATATTGAACTTGTCTAAAACAAGCATGTATTGTCCAGGAGAAAAGAGGTCATCTTAGATGGTCGTCCTCTTGGATAAAGTCATTATCGGTGGGAATTGGTTGTTTGTACAGGTAATTATCTTGGACAAGTGGTCATTAGAGTAGATTCGACTGTGTAAATCTTGTTTTATGCATCTATTCACTGAGGTTTGGGAGATACGGCTGATTAGCAATCTACAAGATATCCCTGTGAAATGCCCTGAGAATAGTGCACATTAACAGAGACTGAGCTGTGGTGAAATAAATGTCAGAGGACATTTAAAAAATGCAACCTAAGTACCATACCTACACTGAAAGATACTAAGATTTCCTCTTTTTTCCTAGACCTCTATTTTTAATTCTTTTTTCTTCCTTTTTGTCCGTTGGATATGTCCATCTCTAGCATTACTAATATTTTACTCTCACATCACCACCAGAGAACTGTTTGTATAGAGTAGCCTGGAGAGGTCACCGGGTAGAATGCTGAACCATCATCTGTCAAGGTTAGCTCCACCGTATCGATGCCCCTGGGGATTTAACAAGCAAAAAAGCAAAGTTTCTTTATTGTGTGCACAGCATGGAAAATGTCAAAATTGTGTTTTGGCATAGTATTATGGTGACATTAAAACACTCCTGAATATGACCAAAAGAGGGAAACAAAGTGCTAAAAAAGAGAATACAGTCAAACCTGTGTAAGACGGCCACCCATTGTCAAGGAGAAAAGTGGCCATATAAGACAGGTGGCCGTCTTAGGCAGGACTGATCAAGATGAAGAAAACAAACCCCATTCCCAATCGAAAGTAGCCGCATTATTGTTGTTTTTGTTGTTGGTTTGTATTTTGTTTGTTATTTTTATTTTGTTGCTGATTTTGTGCAAGGGTGACAATAAAACGAAATGTGTCAGACAAGGAGGACCGAGTGCTATGGTAAAACAAACATATGGGTCGCCGCAACTCGAAAAACGAGCGACGCTTCTGTCACAAGTCCATGTTTACGTCCATTGTTACTTTGTTACAGACTGGGTAAACAGTGACCACTCATCTCACTTACGATTTGTGTATGAGTTCCGGGCGGGGCATATGGGTTATGAGGGATCACACGCTTCCCTCACCAGCAGCTGGAAATTGGTACCTATTGGTCAACAGTGGGAAGGGCCTATGCAACATGATTGGTTGGAGGGACTACCTAACAACAACGACAGGTGATTACATTATGAAGGCTCGCCCACAACGCCAGGGGTCAGGGCACAATTAAAGACAAAACGTAATGGAGTCACTAAGGTGGCCGTCTAAGACAGGTGTTATTGCTTAGTGTGACAGAGGTTGTGTGTTAAAATATGGTGGCTGCGGCCGCGTTGGACAGGTGCCCGTTTGACAGTTAAATTATAAAGGAAAAACGCAAGGGGGGAAATGGAAAGTGGCTGTTTGTACAGTTGGCCATCTTATAGAGGTGGCCGTCAGGGCAGCTTCGACTGTATAAGGTTATCACACATGTAAATACAGCAAGCCAAATTCTCCAAACCATTCTTGCAAAGTCAAAGATTCTAAATTGTTGGCTGAGTACCGTTCACGTAGAGCTACTGGAAACAGAAACAAGTCATTTTCGGAGTAGACTCTTGTTTATGGAGAGGGCATCTAGGCATAAACTACTTCACTTTGAGTGATCTGATGAGGCTTAATTTGGCTGGTTTTGTGCAAACTTAAACTCTGGCTTGACCATTGGAGACAATTTAACTCCACAGAGTCGGACACAGAGAACACAAGAAATCACCGATAGCTCGTACAATTTGCCATTCATTTCCCAACACATATCTCTTTAATTTTTCATTATATCGATTTACCCAAATTGTGGATGGATCAAACACATTGAAAATCCCCAACTTGTTTGAGTTATCGATGCCTGATGGTACTTCTTTCCAGGTACTCTAATCCCAAACTTCACGTGTAATGCTCTTCCAATGTATGAGTATGAGGACATACTTGCACCACAAAATGGTATGATTTTTCAGGGGAAAGGAAGGAGTGCCCTACTGGGCGACAGGGTAAAAGGAATCAAGGATTATAAATATTTGGTAGCAAGAATCTCCAAGTCATATGCTTGGAGCTTTTCTATAACTTATTGCTTCCACCCCAAAATTTCTCAATAGAATCAAACAGAAGTTTCCTGTGTGAGACAACAAAGTGCCTAAACACAACACCACAGATATCGGAAGTCTTCAATCTATCCAACTTACAAATTGTGGATGACAACAGCAAGCGAATTATCTGGTCTGTAGAATGCTGTTATTTCAATCCCTGGAATGCTCTCTGATGATTCAACCTTGACCCAGACAGAGCCGGGTCTAAGAAACTTGCTGTAAAATAAACAAAGTTGGGATATCTCGTTTTTCATTTCTAATGACTGAAAATGGAAAAGAGCAAAAGTGACCCAAAAATCAAGATCTCATTTTTTTGTCGCTGCAAATTTTGCTGTAACTAAAAAACATCTGACAATGACAACAATAATAAATGCTGATACACTGAGAGAATTTCTGAGGCACGTATAGTAGATCATGACTTTCTACTAACTCATTAACTTTGCCTTTGAGCATCCCTACATACTGTAGCATGAGCTTTATGTCTCAATGTTGCTTCAGTTAAGCTTCACATTATTGAAACCTTTGTGACAGCTCCAGTTCAACAAACGTAAAACATCGTAAGCAAAGATGCTGTCGTCCCATACAATGTACATGCTAAAAAGCACCATACAGGATTTAATAAATGTTCTACAATAGCTTTAAATGGACTTTTACAAGGAAACTAATAAACGATTTGAAATTTGCATAACCAAAATTTAAGAATCCTGGAAATTTTTAATTTTGAAAAGGACTTGAAAATGACTGAAACTGCTCACCGCCCTGGCTTGGAAAAAAATGGTACAGTAGAAGTTGAAAAAACTCTAGGTCACACAGAAGTTAAAGCAAACGTAGTTTTGATGAATGTCACTCACAAAATCAGCTGTCACCTATTCTCTCCTTCAATTTTTTCAGCCTTCATATATTCACATATACATATATATATATATATATATTGGGATAGCAAGAACACTGGAAAACAAAGCATAAGTGTTAAAACCACATTTGTCATCTTCAAGTTTGCCATGTACTAAAGTACCAAAAAAGTAAACATGTACTGTACCATAACAGCTTCACAAAAAATCTGCTCGTAAAAAAAGTCACAGGCTAAAAACAGCACAGAAAAAAAAAAGCTTGAGAATCCATGATAACTATCAGTGTTAAAAAAAACCTTTTTGCAGCTGAAATGTTCTCTGACACATACCTGAAATGTCCTAGGGCATAAAACATTGGCTGTTTGTAAAACTCTTTTTTCTCAGCATTGACTATGATGGGACTGTCCACAAAATTGGATACCCAGTTGGGGCCACCTGTCATGTCCAAAGCAATGTTCCAGTCAGTCCAACCTGTGACCCAGTTGTTGAGGTCCTATGGGAAACAAAAATATTATTTTGTAAACATGCTAGTTTATTGAGATCACAGGAAAACGGATAAAGACCCAGTCTGTTCCACAAACACATAATGCTGCTTTAAGTCCAAGAAACATGAAGAAAAGCAGCAATAAAAGGAAAAACTACTTCAACAATGTCAGAGGTGTTCAACAACATAATATTTTATCTGATAATTCCTTCCATAAACTTTGAAGGGTTTCAGTAGGCCTACTCATAGGACATAAACATCTTCTTTCATAGTGTTATTCCTCAAAGGACAACTGGCAGTAGCTACATAAATAGACTTCTTTTCCATCACTTTATCAACGGCAAACACTGGGGCCTGTTACCATCTTTAATAAGGTTCATGGATACTGAAATACTCCATACCTGGATGTGAACATCTGGCAAAGGAAAAGCCAAGTCTTGTTGCTTCACCTGTAAGCTGGATGTGAATTATCTCCACCAGATCAACTAATTCAAGCCAAAATGTCAACATAAAGGTATGATGCTAGCAGAAGAGGCATTATTAGAAGAACTAAACTAGCATGAAAATGAATATTCACCGTGATGATATCTTTTGTGTAGCTGGCAGCTCGCTCCCATGAGCCCAGTTCCACATGCTTTTGCCATGGCATTGACCCTTCACAAGCCTCACTTGCAAAAATGAACTTGTCAGGGAAATTAGTGTGAGTCTTCGTTAAGACGTCTGAAGGTACAAGAAAATCTGAATACCAGTGGACAGCTACTCCAGATAAATACTGACTGGCTTCTGGGTCAGACAGGACCTGCGAACAGATTATTTGTCCAAAATAAATATTAATTGTAATACAAGTAATGTGAACACATGGTACAAAACAATGATACAAGAATTTTAACTGCACTGTCAGCATGTTATATTCATTCCCGCCTAAACTGCCCGTCTTCACTGGTCGCTTGCACCAAACTGTACCCAAATCATCTGTCATTATCAGGTAGTTTCACATTAATGACTGGTGGGAATCAAGATTTCCTTGTGGGCTTTAACAATTCAAGACACTTTTTTTAAAGAACAAATTAGACATCCAGGAAAGTGTATAGTCTATGCTGTGTATTAAAATCACATCTATATTTCTTGCGTAGAAAATAGAATTACAGAAAAAAATTACTATCCCTTTCCGTTTTTAAATGATTATTCCACTTTTAGTCGACTCTACTGAACAATGTACTAGAGATATAAAAATATGGATGACCAGCAATAAATTGAAACTAAATGATGACAAGACGGAAATAATGTTGAGTGGAAATACAAAAGCCATTAAAAATCTCCCAGAGCTACAAATTGATATTAATAACCATACTATTCGTTCAAAAAGAAGTCTTAAAAATCTAGGGGTTCAGTTGGATTATGATATTTTTATGTCTATGTCCTCCCAAATTAGCCAGCTCAGCAAAATATTTACTTTCAGCTTAAGAAAATTGGCAGTGTACGAAATTATTTAACTAAAGCAGTAGCCAAGACACTTGTAACAACACTCATTTTATCAAAGTTAGATTACTGTAATGCTATTTTGTCCGGTTTGACATCCGAAAAACTATCAAAGTTACAAGTACTCCAAAACCAAGCAGCAAAATTAATAATGAAACAAAAGAAATCAGCGCACATAACACCAATTCTGAAAGAACTACACTGGCTGCCAATAAAAGAAAGGATTAAATACAAAACTGCCGTTCTTTGTTTTAAATGTATAAATGATAGTGCACCTTTTTATCTGAAAACATTCCTGGAATTATATCATCCAACTAGAGCCCTTAGATCAGCCTCTGATAATCTAATTCTTAAAATTCCAAAACAAAATCACAAAACATACGTCGAGCGTTCCTTTTTATTCTTTGGTCCCCAGGTATGGAACGAACTCCCATATAAAATAAGATCTGCCCCAACAATTTCCATTTTCAAAAATCAGCTGAAGCATTTTTTATTCACAAAAGCATACCTGTCTTAATGATGTACTGTGATATATATATATGCATGTGTACGCCAGACTGTGAGACTGAAGAAATAGCGTGTGAGAATGAGAGAGAGAGATAGGGAGAGAAAAGAGAGAGAGATAGAGGGAGAGAGAAAGAGAGAGAGAGAGAGAGAGAGAGAGAGAGAGAGAGAGAGAGAGAGAGAGAGAGAGTGAAAGAGTGAAAGAGAGAGAGAGGGGGAGAGAGAGAGAGAGAGAGAGAGAGAGAGAGAGAGAGAGAGAGAGAATGGAAATGTTTTTCTATATAGAATTAATGTTTTAATGAATGTTTCTAGTCTAGTTACTCACGTTTCAACTTTATTGTGACCGTTCGTGAATTTTTATTGCATTGGTTTTTTTTTAGTGAACACATTTTCAACCTCACTGCGAGACTATTTTTCTCATATAAAATTTTACACAAAATCATTTATATTATATGTATAATACGTTGTTTTATGTACGCACTTGTCGATTAATTTTTAAGACGTGATGTCTTTTTCGTTGTAATGCGCATTGAGCATCTTTTAGAAAATGGAAATGCGCAGTATAAATGCTATTTATTATTATTATTATTATTCAGGTGGTAAAAGGAATGGTGCTCCTAAAAAAAAAAAACCCTCCATCTGACTATTAGTCAAAATTAATTGTGCAAGCTTTAAACAAACGTCAAAACTGATCAATGTCAACAAACGCTAAAATGATTTCTTTTTCTTAGTTTTACAGAAAACTCCTCATGCCTCTCTGGGATAAAATATCCTCAATGCCACAAAAATAAAAGTAGAGTTATTTGTGGGTTAAAAAAAAAATCCTTTGAGTGGATTTAATCGAGGTTCCTGGGAAATAACAAACTAGCTATTATCTACAGCCACTAAAACAAAGCCTTCAAAAGAAGTAAAGAAACCAGCAAGATTTCCCCTCTATATTTTCAAAACATTTCTAGAACAATTCCAGGGTTAGAAACATTGACTGCAATTTGAATAAAAAATGTAATCTATAATATACCTGCTACTGTTCATTTTGAATCTTTATCAGGTATGGTTGCTTTTGTAGAAAATCTTAAAAAATTTTAAAAAATGTTCTACAGAGTAATGCCTCTTGTCTAGGGTGGGAGAGGTATTTTGAGAGCAGAGCCTCAGGAAAGATTGATTCAAAAGATGCACTATGGGTATTGTCTATCCATTGATGTGTGGGGAAAAAAAAAATCCAACAGTTACTTCAGAGAACTTAACATTATGAATTTGGGCCAACAAGAAAACAAAACAGTGAACTATACTCACGACTTTTGTCCAGTCCAGAATTAGCAATCTCTGGTCATCCAACATCATGAGACTGACATTCCCAAATCCAGCAGTGTGTAATGCTGGCCCAAGATCGAGTTTAACAAAATCACGTTGAGTCTCCGGGGTAAATCCCAGGGCTTGGAAAGGGAAATTTTGCTGCAAGCCATCAATTGGTTCGTTCTGAGTAGTTAGACCCCAAAATGAGATATTGTGCTGCTGATAAAACTGTAAAAACCTGCAGAGGGAGTTTTAAAGTATTAAATCTTATTGTGAGAAAATCTTTGATCATTATCTGGTTATGTTCATGACTTAAAAAATAATCACTTAATTTTTTTACTGGGTTAACTCTCGAGTTCAAATAATTATTTTGTTAACTTCTCTTTCCTCCTGTGAGAAGAATATATTGACAAACTTACATAGGTATTATATACATACAATTATTTTATCCATACTTGTCAGAGAAACTTTACTTTGAGTGTGTATCCTTTCAGCTTCATCTTCCTGTCTTTTCCCTGGTACATCAAACATGGAGTAATGTATTACAATCAGTCCAAACAGAAGCTAAGGCACTTCTTCAACACTTCTCCTGCACTAAGCATCAAGACATTTTTACCATCTTATGATAGAGATGTGCACGGTCAATTTCTTTCCCAGTGCCGTTTTGAATTAATATCTTCTAGTGACACACATACTATATTTATTTAGCATCTGTAGTCTAGTAGTTAAATATAGCATTGCAGGTTCAAATCCTAACCTGGACCTGACTTTGAGTCCATACATGAAAAAATTTTTTTCCTTAATTCACCCAGGTGAGAATGGGTATCCAGCTAAGATAGGAAAAGATCTTGTGAGCATGTCAGTGTTTAAAATGGAAGCTTTCACTCAATGTTTCCTATGAAACGGAGAATGTTTTGGAATATATTATGGGATCTGTCAGGATAACAATAAATTGTAAAGTGCACTGAGCTTTCTTCTCAGCAAGGATGTATGCGCCTCATAAATGCAACCTATCATCATCATGATTATTTCTTGACACCCAGGTCCTTAATAATAAGACATATTACTCACTTGACATAATATAAGGCCCATGCCTTGTAATACTGGCCACCAGGTTCTCCAATGAGTGACCCTTTGCCAGTCATGTTGTCGTTGGTCTTCATCCAGGCAGGAGCACTCCACGGACTGGCAAACATGCGGATTGGGTTCGGGCTCAGGGTCTTGGCTTGTTGTATGAAGGGGATCTGAGAAGAGTGGATAATGATTATAACAAAAATCACTTCTACAGCACCTAGTTCCTGGTGGTTCTAGGTGCTTAGCAATGAAATGAAAAGAAAAAACAAATTGATAACTTACACAATGACATGTTTCACGCATACCGGCCCATTCAACGTACAACAATCCTTTCACATACACGAGCCCGTTATCTGACAAAACAATACCAACTCAGAAAGACAGTCACTGTGGCTGCTACGAACTTGCTGCTGAAAGAAGAGTCAAACTAGCAGGTAAAGTAGGAATTAAATGAATATGTATTGGGACAATGTAGATTCTATGCAGCCACAGTGTTGTGTATTTGACATCAAAGCTGCTAGGCCTAGATCTAGTAAACAAAACCTAAACACTGACTGGACAAACAAGCAATGTGATTTCAACTGGACAGCACGGCACCCATGCCTATGCTTCTCTAGTAAGGTTAGGGGTCATTGTGACGTCAAAGAGGTCATCCAGTCCGGAATCATGTCAGCCGAGGTCTATAAGTTTAAACCGTTTCCTATAACATCTAGAACTTTTGACAGGGATGAAAATTTATAAGAAATCGATCATTCCTCCCCTCCTCTCTCTATATATATCTATCTTTCTCTCTCTCTATCTATCTTTTTTGTCAACTCCCGACCCCCCCCCCCC